GTAACAAATTGAAAGATTAGTGCACACTATAGGGATACATTTGGGTTTCTATTTACGAAATCACTTTAAGTGTTTTTGTAATCCAAAATAGCGAATTTTTTTTTTATTGGTTAAATTTTTTTGAAAATAAATATTTTTCATTTTCGGCTGACTTACATTTCTTCAAAATATTTTACTTTTCGTACTTTCCTTAGCTAAGTATTGGTTACACCAACGCTAGTATAAATGCAATAAAAGTATAAAGTATTAGGCATTTTTTATTTGGGCACATCATGATCTCATTTCTAATTGACTTGTTCTTGTTAAAGTTGGAAGATTTTTTTGAACAATCCATGAGATTAAATAGATATATTTTCCATTGATTGGAATATATCCCATTGTGAAGAAAAAACAATTGACACAATAGACCCATTTAGTCGAATTCGACTCATTGTTGTGATTAAGATATATATACATATATCATATTCTATCTTTCATCTAATAGTAGAGATGAAATATTTATAATATAATTTTATAAGTACACAATTGTCTATAATGGTATTACAATATAAATATATACAATAGAAATATATATAATATAAATATAAATATGAGGAATATTAGAAATGTTTTTAGTTTTAGATGCATAAAGCAAGAAATTAGTCAAACGCTAAGCTTTAAATACAGTAAAAATTTTATTTAATTTGACAATTAGGTAAGTCTTTTTTTTATCATTGTTCTTATTATTGTTCTTATTATTGTTCTTGTCCTTGTTCTTTCTTGGTAAGTTATTGTCGTCATTGTAGTTGTATTTGTTTTGTTATCACCTCTTTTTTTACTTTTTCTTTGTGTTACTGTTTTTGCTTGTATAACTGGGAGTGTCATATACTCTTGCGTTGTTGTATTTGTTTTTATGACACTGTTGTGTTTGTTAGTGTTTTTTCAATACTTATTGTAGGTTTCATTCTGATTAATGCTAGTGTCATTATTAACATTGATATGTATAATAAATCCATTTTTTTAATTTAATTATGTTATCAGTACTTTTAATAAAAACAGTTTATCGAATATATTGGCAACATTCATAAATAAAACTAAATTTAAATTAATTTTAAATTTAAATTTCACATTTTTATAATTAAAATTCTATTTGTTTAAAAAATGCAACAAATATAAAAATAAAGTCGTTTTTACTTACCTTAGTTTATTTTGCCAGCAGATTTTGCGTTTCTGTGTGTGTGTGCATTCCCACCTATTTATGCCATTACACATACTCGTATTATTTTAAATGCATTTCGCATCAAAACAATTATCTCAACACAAAAGTATTACAATTTTAATTTTATTTTATAATATTTAAAAAGTAACAGCTTAAATATTTAACATATTTAAGAAATCGCTTGTTTGTTTTTGTAATGCATGTTTAAGAATTTCAATATGGCGTGAAGGTTGTCCATTCCGCTTCAAAAAATTATGGAAAATTAATTTTAAATTTAAGTTTTGTATATGTATTTGATGTCTTTATTTAAACTTCCTTTAAAGTATAACACACATTACATTTACATGCAATTAATTTATTATTTTTAAAATGTTAATTGAATTAATATATTAAAAACAATTTTCGCGATTTTTATTTATGTACACTAATAACGGTAGTCCTTTTCTTACTGATGCCCAGCGACTAATGTCAATCACTTATTTGTTTTTCGGCGTAATCAGATCATTGTTGTTGTTGCAAATCTAACATCAAATGGTAAGCTTACTCCAAGCGAATTGGTGATAACAACAAATATACAGTGTAAAGTAACCTTTGGTAATTGTTAAAGGGACGTTATAAGTGTCACTAATAAACAGGGAAATATTCACTAGTAAATCAAAGGATTATATTCAAATTGTTACATATGTTAATTAATTTTTATGTTTAACCATGTGTACTGTATATTTTTATTTAACTTGTACTTTATTCTTTTTTTTTTATGATTAAAGTTAGTTTGTAAAGAGTGAATATATTTGTGTGTTACTAAAATTAAATTTGAGGTATTTATATTTTTAATAGTCAAATATTCTGTCATATCAAGTATCCAAATTCTGACACTTCCTGAAGTGTCAGAAAAATAATTTGATTGACTTAACCAGATTTTAACTAAATCGCAGGTCAAAATACCACACATGTTGGTTTTCATATCTTCTCTACCACATAAGCTAAAATTTTTCTAACAAAATGATAAAGTCAATTTAACTAGTATGTGGCCAGAGCATATGTTCTGAGTGTACGAAGGCAATCATTTACAATATTAATATATGAATTATGTACTGAACATTTACGGTTTATGGGACTAAATAGAACAAGTAATGAACTCAGTTATATGAACTTAAAAATAATATCAACAAAAGAACTTTCAAAGACGATTAACATAAAGCTGTATAAATTTATAGTAATTTGTTCAAACTTATAGTGAAATATCTGCATTAATAATATATTAAGCTGTACAAAATATAGATAGTTTTCATTGTTTTTTTTTACAAAGAATTTTGCAATTACATATATCTGTTAATATGCATTCACTCATCGTTCATACGCCTTAAAAATCTTAAAACTCTTTGACACATTTTATAGACTTTATGATTTAAAGAGATCCTTTAATACTACATTGAAAGATATATGTTAGTTTTATTTAATATTAAATAAAAGATCAACTTTGACAGATATTATTAAACGTATCTTATATGTCGCTCGTCTAAAAGAAAGTTCACGTTTGTTATAGAAATAGTCAAACGCTTCAGTCTTATAACTCAGTATATAACTCAGGGATGATTTGTCACCGTTTGCACTCCTTATTATGGCAACAACAAGAATATAAAATTTGTGATAAGTCTCAGAGAAGGTTACAATATATGGTTCTTAGTAAAGAAAGACTGGAAATGCGTACTTTGTCTAAGTTTAAGAAATCATATACATTCCGTACCAGGAGCAGAAAAATATTTCGTTACATATTTCTGATAACAGTTTTGGCATACGGTCGTGCTACTTTAGAAAACCTTATAACGCTAAGTACTGGAAAGGGTTTACTTTTGAGACCTAACTCGTAAGTATATTATAAAAATATGCTTTTGATGCGATTGTTCGTTTAAGCAATCCTTTTCATTACTGCATTGAAAAGTGAAAAGATTACCCTATTATTATATACAGTGGGTAAAATGAATCCTGTATGAAAAATGTTACGGAAATCCTACACAATTTTCTAGAATCAGATTTATAAGATTCCTAGGTCAGTCCGTAGGAATTCTATACCCATCAAATTGAATGCGTTTTCATAATCGATACATGTACAATGCAAATTGCAGCATTATTCATGATTGCTCAATGATTATTTTAACCAAACATGGTACACAACTAGTTGTTCTTACCCTGGAATTGAGGCATTGTTTTTTTGCTTTTAATCACTTTTGTAGCTACTACCATATAATCTTTCTTATTTTGGTTGCTTTTAGCCATTTCAGTAAAATTAATGAATTGGTTTGATTGTTGGCTCAATTGTTTTTCTCTGAATATTTCTTATGGATCTTATGGATGTTTTCTTATGGATCTTTCATCACTGTTTGTAATTGTATTAGAGCTTGATGAACTTATTACAGAGACTTGTCTTGAGTCTCAAATACCCTTTTCGCTGGAATTCCATTATCCATGTTAACGAATGGATATGGCCATCTAATGAACGCGCTGGATGGTCACTGAGTTATATCAAATCGAATTATATCAATAAAACTCGTACAGCTTGTGGTTCATTCAGATGCAGTAATCGTCGTCAAATATAACGAAAGATATAATAAAGAAGAAAGAGAAAATTACCTTTCTCTCGAAAACTTTTTATGCTTCTGATCCGTACAGATGTAAAGACGAATAGAAATACAAACGACCTATAAAAGCGAGCTCTACATTACAATGAGCCCCTAGGGGCACCTACTGGCAGTGGATCACTTAAATATTTATGATCTATATAAAGTAATAATGAGTTCGGAAACCTGGGGTTAGGCAAGCAAGGAAATGAAATATTTTGAGTTGAAAATGGATTTATTTTTGATTTCTAATTACTGAAAGTTTATAATGCCTCTACGAATAGAATAGTTTTGAAATTTAACAATTAAAAATAAAAAAAAAAAAAAAACAAAATAATTAATTAATTAATTCAATTATTCTACAGCTGGTTTATGATTTCGTTCTAATATATAAATACAGGAAGTAAAATTGTTAATAAAAACTTTCATAGCAAAAGTAACAAAACTCCAGCAAAAATATGCGAACAAAAAAGTCAAGTACGGCTTTTGGATCAGTTGGTTAAGGTTGCGCTGATTCTGAGCTTCACATTTGGCAGGACCCGATTCGATTCCTGGTACTTGCAGTCTCAAAAATAATTATTTACGAATAATTAAATACAAGAATTATTTCCAAGACCACTGATGAAGGGTATTTGGCAATACTCGAAACAGCTGTATGGTAAGCCAAAAATTCAATTAATTAAAATAATTTAAAAAATAAATTTTTGTTGTTGTTTCACTTCTGTTCGAAAACCTCTTTATGAAAGTTTATATTAAATCTATTTTCTTATTTTTTCTATAACACACCTAATTAAAAATTTTAAGTTTTCTTATTTTTGAAACTAAGTAATACTTTTGACTTTTTATTTTTGCTGCCTTTAAATATTCTTGGGGTGGATAATATCGCTTAAAATTTATAGAGCTCCGTTTTTAATCTACTGCAGAGATTTATGTTTTTATTATCTTCTATGTCAGATTCTATGTCAAAATAAAGTTATATTTATTTAAATTATATACATAAAAGCCTTTATTTTTTCACTTTATATAAAGTGGATTTTATTTTAATTAAGGTTAAGGTTAATTCCAGCCTTGAATTGGAACACAGTAATAAAACTTATGAAATAATTTTATATATATGGCACCTTGAAAAATAAAACATGTTATATTAAAAAAATTTATTTATTACTAAAAAATTTGTGGTAGAAAAGTATTACGTATAATAAATTCATTAACTCATTGGACAAATACCGCCATTTTCTATAAAAACTTCCAGACACGTTCGATCAACTCGATCCCACAGCAAAGATCCAAACCTTCGTGCTGTATAATCCACAACGAGAATAGCTTTGCAGTTTATACAATGATCCCGATAATGAAATAAAAGACCAACAGTTTGATGAACTATACTATCGGAGTATCCTGGAGCTGAGCGCCACACATTATGGTTTCCCATTTCTACTATAGCACGAGTATTTACTATGCATTTGCTACGATCGTAGGCGGGCATAATTTCGACAGTTCGACGAACTTTCGTTTGTGTATAGAGAAATCTATTCTTTATATGTGATGGAATGCTAAATGTATCGTTGCTGTCCTTTTTATAGAAAAATACATTTCGAAAAACGAATCCAGATGTTCGTCCTTCATCGCATTGTCGCAAATAATGCATTAAAGAATTATGTTTTAGTGGCACAATTATTTCATCAAAATCTATAACAGCTGCATAGCGAAAATTATCCACCACCATAGCACGGAAAACGCAATCGTTGTATTGGGCAACAATGCCGCCGTAGTGAACATCATCAAGTTCTTTATGTATATTCCAGGAAAGCACATCTGCCAGTCCAATGTCACGATAGTGAGCTAATAATTGTTTAACCTCATCAGTGGCATCCATGACATAAAAATAGAAATGGGTCACACCCAATATTCGATACATTTCAACAAATTCCGCCACACGTAAAGCTTCGTTGTAATGAAATTGCAATGGTCCGACGCAGGCAGCGATTGTGGGTTTAGTTTGCTGAAACATTAGCGTCATATTACGAGCATAGCTAAGATTAAAAAAATTTGGAAATTTTAATTACCAATAGACAGTTTTCACTTACCTTATTTCTATAAAAGTAGGACTGAGAGAGCTGAGACGATTTGTGGCATAGGATAAAGCAACGGCTTGAGGAAGTTGTACTGTGCTTATGTTCCGACTGACGTAGAGTGGACACATTATTGTGAATGCCGCAAAAGGCTTTTCGTGACTCTCATGCATGGATTTGACTTCCGCAGCTTTAATGTACTTCAATGTGAAATCATCAAATCTTTAAGATGAAACAATTTCAAGTTCTAATGCAAAATTAATGTTTCAGCTTATTTATTAATTGAATAGAAAATCTTTTTTTACCTGACAATGCATTGTATTGTATCCTTAAACATTGTAGGCAATATGGCAAATATACGCAATGAACCAATGGGTACATTGGTGTAATCTATGGACTCTGAAGTATCTGTTGAGATAGTGAAAATTGTCTTTTGGTTTTTAAAAAAAGAATGTTATGATATGTTACCTATCACATCAGTTCGCATATCAAAGTAAGCAGAATAGATTTCATGACCACGGGAGGAGTTTCCTATGTGCTTCCAGGAATTGTTATAATGCCAAGATGTTGCTGGTTTCAACAATGTTAGGGAACTTTGTATGATTTTAATATCATCTCTAAATTTATCATGCTAAAATGATTTTTAAAAAATTTCTGTGATGTTAATTTTTTCTCGCCTAATGTGATGCTTATTATGACGAAAAGTAACTATTTTAAAGTTAAAAGCGCCCGAATAGAAATGAAAAGACAACAACGAAAATTTGGCCTAATTTCAATAAATTAACTAAAATTTTTGTTGTTGTCTTTTCGTTTCTATTCGAACCCTTTCCAAATTTTTTGTTTTCATATTATTTATTTTATAGAAATAAATTCATAACATATTTAAAATAATTTGTATTTGATAAAAATTTTTTTATTTATATAAATATATAGCAAATTAAAGAATATTTTTTTGTGTGGATAGTTTAAATAATTTTTAAATATCTAAATAAATTGCTATAGTTTAACACTTACTACTGTTGTCCTTATGGATATGTAAGCTAAAATAATTATTGCACTTGTTACCAAGCCCGAGAAAACAAAGTACACGTATTGATAACGATTTTCATTAATAACAAGCATTTCTTCTTTATATACAAAATATTAATAACTAATAGAGAATATAAACTCAATTTATTACAGAAGCCATATATAAAAAAAATAATTTTTTTTGAATTTGTTTTGTATAATTCAATTAAGCAATTCCCAGCAGTATTTATTACTATTTACTATGTTCAAAAACGACCAAACCCACGACTAATTAATTCACACTTAATTTTTATATCCTGTGAGGAGAACTTACTCCTCCTCACGCAACCACTTTAAATATCTTCTGTAACGTAACAAACCACATTTTCAACAACAATTTCCTGAAGACGAAAAATGTTTAGCTTTTGGGTGCCATTGTACTTCCTTTCACTGTTCGACACAAACTGAATGGGCACTATTTTAGTACGTCTTCAGCGACTTGTATGAATATCAATTTGAGGTTTTCTTGGCCACATATTTTACGCATACCTTCAAGTATATGACGGGCACTTGACCATCGATTATGATTAATGCCAAGTATCATAAACGTTCATTGTTAGCGCGTCAGAAGCCTTCAGGTGGGTAAGAAATATTGGAATTTCATTTATTTTCGTACCCTACGTAATGTATTGTATTGGTACGTCTCGGTAAACTTAATTATTCATAGGTCATCATAACTGAGTGGTCTCGGTTTGTGGCATTATTGATTGCAATCGTATTTATAATTTATTTCGCACATTTTGTTTGTGGTTAATTGAATTTTATTGACTTTTTAGCCGAAATTCTATGTTAACTACCATTTTATTGATCATTGGTGTTTCTTTAATGTCCTATTAAATATGTACGTATTACTTATTAAAGTATTTTGCTTAAGATTTATTCTAACATAAAATGAGATATGATTATATAGCAAGTAAATCTTATTAGCTTAATGGGATTATAAATTTAAAAAAAAAATTCAATTGTTGTTATACTAAAATTTTGTTTGTTTTACGAATTAAACAATTCTGTTATAAATGAAATAGTATTTTAATAATAGAACTAATATAGTAGAAGACTAAGACTGACACTAGCACCGAGCACAGGAACAGAATAATGTAAACATCTTCCTCCTTCTGGATAGCGAATGCGCTAAGCGTAATGCCATTGTCCTATTTTAAAATTTTTTTTTATAAATTTTTCGAAGACAAGTCAATAAGGTATTAGTAGACACACTTTTTTTATTGATTTATTTTAATTTCATCAAACATAGAAATTTTGCAGAGTTGAAGTAAAAATTCTAAGAATAATAACTGGTGCACCCTGGTATATCAAAAATGAAAACACACATTCCGATTTGGAAGCCTCGACAGTTAAAGTCGAGTTCGAAAGAATAAAGCAAAAACATGCTTCAAATCTTGAATACCATGTGAATCCGCTGGTTAGACCGCTTGCTAATATGATTCCTTTCCTTTAAATTCCTTTAAACTGAAACGGAATGATTGACCTGCCATCCTGCTTTCCTAAAGATTACACTGTTTAATTCAACTTCTGCGCCGTGATATTTGGTAAATAAGCCCTGGCTACTTATTCAGAGGCCCCTTATAATTTAATTCATTTACAATTCATTGTAGTTTGTATATCTTAAATAATTTGTTAGTTTTTTAAGATTCTAATATTAAAAATTTTTTGAATTTATTTATGGACCTGTTTTTTTATAGTGGTTTTTATATATTTTGTTTTAATCCGGCAAAAGGTTCCTTTTAGTTGAAAAATTCAACGTTTAATATTTCTTATTATATTCTATATTTGGACTCTCCATGAGAAATTTTCCGGATATATAACTACTTGTTTTGGAGATATGAATTTGCCGCCAAGTTCATTCGATTTCTCACCACTGTATTTTTTTTTGTGTAGTTGTGCAAATGTTCGTTTATATATCCAGAAATTTCTATAGTAATGTACGAAATTTTATATTTTTGATGCTTTGGAAGTGAAAATCCATCAAGTTCTCTCTTAACTGTCAACTTTTATATGTCGATAAATCATTGCAAGTTACTACAAAACGATAAAGATAAGTCAAGATGTCTAATGAAAATGATGATGATATCTTTCAAAAATGATGGCAACCTTTAAACAACATGTAATAAAAATGGATAGAGTTCTTTATCTCAAGTGGGTTTTACGTTTACTCTCGGCACTATTAAATCATTTTCTTAAGTAATAGGTGTTCAAAATTAAGACCAGTTGTTCTTGAGATTGTGTTTTTTTTCACAACATTTATTTATTGTATCGTCTGTTAAAGGGAACTAATGATAAGCTTTTAAACTTTATCTGTAATTACAAGCTTTTATTTTAAGTATACAATTGTATGATACAAAATAATATAATTGTATTCTATTGTTTTAAAAAGAAATAGCACTCGAAATTAAATATAATAGAAATGTGTAAAAATATTTTTAAATTTTTTACTAAAAAGTTTCTTTAACTTGTTTTATTTTTTAATATATATCTTATTATATCTGTTCAAAATTTCTGTGAAAAAATATTTATATATAATAGTAAGAGAAAAAAATAAAATAGAGCATTTTGTCTATTTTGCGATGTTAACTGCAAATTATGAAGAACTTCGAGGTTTGACTTATTTTAATCGTTTATTTTGGATTGTCTATTGATCAAATGAATTTCTTAGATTTTACTGAGCTATAAATTATTTTGGATTACATATCTTTGAATATGTGTCTATTGTGTTATAAATCGTCGAAAAAACAAAGCAGAAAAAAAGAAGAAATGAACAACAATATGTTAAATTCAACAATTCATGGTTCATTTCCAGAGAACATCTAATAACAATACCTTCTTAGATATTACTAAGTCACATTTTATTTTGGATTACCTATCCCTGAATATACGTCTGTAGAGCTATACTTTGTCGGTTTCAAAGAATAAAGAACACTGTGTTAAATTTAACAAACCAAAAGAGGTTACTCTTCAGACATCAGAATCACGATATTTTTTAAATAATACTGAGCTATAAATAATTGGATTATCTATTTCGTTTTGAAACATAACACGTTTGAATATAAAAACCAAATTCAACATTACATCAAGTAAACTTGCCTTCATATCCTTTCACATCGATTCAAATGCTGTTATCTGTAGACATTTCTTAAAATTCCTTAAACACTCAGAAAAATAATTTAGTTGATTTAACCAGATTTCAACTAAAACTCAGATCAAAAAGTTATTACTCGACGGTTGATTCAACCAAACCACATGTTGGTCTAAAATTCCTTCTCTCAAAATCGATCAGGTCAATTTAACTTGTATGTGGTTAGAGCACAGAGAAACTTAAGAAAACCAAACATTATTGTACTGTAATATTACAGATAAGGATTAACTATAACTATTTCAAATCCCCGATATAAAAATATTGGTAATTAGTTTTTATTTATAACTAGGCGCAATTGAATAAATAATAAAACTTAAATGAAATAATGAATTTCCAGAGCTGGAGCCATAAATCACAATTCAGAAATGGCAGCATTATGAAACTCCATAATTTGTATTATTGGAATACTGAAAACCATGTGGTGTGGTATGTTTCCATAAACACTTAATGCAGGTAGATACAACCCATTCCTTGATGAGAATTTTTTAAGTTTTTGAAAGGAATTTCATTGCCTATAAGACGTACTATGATATATTTACACGATGGTGCACATCATCTTGTCAGAAGGTAAAAGATTAACAATAATTTTCCTACTCATTGGATAGGTATAAATGAACACATCTACTGGCTGGCAAGATCACCAAAAATCACACCTCTGAACTTTTTAGTGTCGGGTATAATAAAAGATTTAGTATATATGATACATTAAGACTGAAAAGTTTTCGGAAATTCTCATTTAAAATTCGCGCGCTGTATATTTTTCGATATTTTAAGTTTATGTAGTTTGGCAGCACTGTCCTTAATTACTATGCCAAAAATGAGCGCGATCTGTCAGACAGTTCGCTTACGGCAGCTGTTGAAACCAGTTCACCTCAGTAGTTGCGTTGCGAAATGTCTTCGACGGTCTACGACCGTCCTGAAAGGCTTTGTACCACTCATAAACTTGAGTTTTCGATAAAACTGATTCCCCCATAAGCCTTTTGTAGCATTCGCAACGATTCTGCACACGAAATTTCGTTCGAAACCACAATAATTTGATGCAAACTCTTTGTTCAATATTTTTTTCCATTGTTTTTTTCGCAACGCACTACTGAGGTGAACTGGTTTCAACAGCTGCCGTAAACGAACTGTCTGACAGATCGCGCTCATTTTTGGCATAGTAATTGTCCTTAATTGCTGCCAAACTACATAAACTTAAAATATCGAAAAATATACAGCGCGCGAATTTTAAATGAGAATTTCCGAAAACTTTTCGGTCTTAATGTATACTATAATATAATATTCATATATTAAGCTATAAATCGTCTTTTTAAAGAAATAATCCGAACTATTTGCATTTCAACAAATCCAAAATGGTTACTTTTCAGATATTGTCTGTTCTCTTAAATATAACGGCAAATAATAATATTATGCCGACTATACGTGCTATAATATACTGACACGATGGTGCATATGATCTTGACTGAAAGTAAAAGATTAACAATGAATTTCCTCTTTATTGGATAGGTAAAATTGAACACATCTATTGGCGGCAAGATAACCAAAAATCACACCTCTGAATTTTTTTGTGTCGGGTACAATAAAAGATTTAGTATATTTGATCCATAATATAATATTGGTCTATTGAGCTGTAAATCGTCTTTTTAAAAGAATAATTCAAACTGTGTATATTTCAATAAATCCAATGTGGTTACTTTTTACAGATTGTATAATCTATTAAATATGACGGCATATACCATAATGTTATAATGCTGACTATATGAAAATATATCTTATATTTTATCGATCAGGGTTTTTTCTGATTTTAGTGCTATGGCAATAAATGTGGAAATTTGTTTCAATGTTATTTCCAAAGCATATCGTTATCGTCATTTCATCACAATGCTATCACAATCAATCACCAATTTTGAATTAAAGTACCTTTATCGAAAATAATGGTAGAATTAAAAAGTAGATAACTATCACGTGTATAAAATTCTATTTTTATTCAAATTTTGGAGCCGGTCAATGGACACTTTAATTAACGTGTTGCACAGATACATATGTGGGTAGATACATTCACATATGCTACATATATATGTGTCTAAAATTTAAATAATTCTCCGTACATAGTACATATAATTATCTGTCACATGTATATGTTCACATCAATGTAGGTCGACACACTGTGGAAACCATAATTTTAAATAATTAAATAATTTAATTAAACTTCTGGTAGACATAAAAAGTGGATATAAAATTAAGTGAAATCCGTAATAAGACTAGCCAAGTAAATGTTTAGAGAATGTTTGAGTTCATGGGTTTATGAATTTTTTATATATAAACTTTTTTTGTTTGCTTTTATGTAGCCAGTATGAAAGTAATTTTATTATTAATTTATTATGTATTTTGTCAAAACTTCACTTTTTCAGATTTTAGATTTCAGATTTCAGATTTGAAATGCAAATTGTTTCGTATTCGCACGCTTGGACACAAGAAATAAAACTATTCATTGTTGGGACATAGTGAAATGCTCATACACTGAGTTTAATAATTTTGATGGTTCTTTCTATTTTTAAAATTCTTACATTTTATAAAGCCGAATAAAAACAAATTAAATATTTCACTTTTGGAACGCAAAAATACAATAATAAATATTTTCTCCTCAAAGAGCACGGATCAC